GCAGGTGGATGATTTCGGACGGGCTCACAAAGGGGGGATTGAGCGAACGGGTTAGGGAATTTATGGAACAAAATCGTACGAGGGTCCATGAGGAGAGTGCTCAGACAATCCGGAGGAGTCAAGGAGCGAAACGCCCCCCGGAGGGGGTCTCACCTCAAAATCGGCGTCCGTTTGTATGCCCTTCTGGTCCGAGCCCGGGGCCATTGTGTAAAACTTTCTGCGCGGAGAAAATAAATCGCACCCGGTTTGATGATGCCAGCTTGAATGCCGGCGCGCGTACGGAGGCTCGAAGTGGGGTTTCATCAACACTCCTTGTCTCCGTGTCCAGCGCCGCTGTCTGTGCTCAAGCGGACATTGCACTGCAGGAACGCTGCGCGGCGGGAGGCCACGCGGACGCGATGGGCTCGCGCGAGGGGCGCCGCAGCCGCCGCCGAGGAGAGGAAAGCCCGCGGCGCGGGAAGGAACCAAATCAGACGCCAGGGCGGTCGAAGCCCACCCGGAGCCGCAGCCGTGACAGGCGCGAGGAGGCTCGCGGGAGACCGCTGGGCGCGAAGAGGCCGGCGGAGCCAACGGAGCTGGCGGAGCCAGCGAGGGTCGAGCGGAGGGCGACGCCTCCGAAGCGCACAGGCTGCGGAGACGGCGGCGGCCCAGTGTGCTTCACCAGGCGCCACCTCGGAGGTGACGGGGGGAGCGTCAACAAGTACCCCTCGGAGCACGCGGCGCTGAAGTTGCCCGACCAGTTCATGGTCTTCACGCCGATGGAGGTGGAGAAGTTGTCGAACTTGGATTGGAATTTGTGGTTGTCCAACTTCTTCCGGGTTACATACCCAGGGGCGCTCGTGCCCGGCAAGTTCAGCGTCGAGGAGCTGGCTCATTGCTGGAACAGCGTGCTCCATCAAGACGGTAGGATGTACATGCGCTGGGCGTTGGTAGAACACCTACTTAAAACGTACCCGCTCGCGGCAACGTATTGGCAGGCTGCGACGCAGCGGAGGCTGATGACCAGCACCTGGCCGCCTGCTGCGGGCGGAGGGAACGCGGGCCCTGAAGATTCATATTCGGAGGGCTCCGACTCCAGCTCGGATAAGGAAGGCGACCCGCCAGAGGTCGGCGCGGAAGCGCGGGCCGGCGTCGAGGCTGATCGCAACGAAAGGTCCCGCTCGGCGCGGCGCGCCAAGGAGGAAAAGGAGTCGGAGGACGACGACCCGTCGCCAGGCCGACGCACTCGCCGACTCCCTACGGACCGCAGCCCATCGCCGGAGACGCGCGGCGAGGAGCGCAAGGGTGGAAAAGGTTCCAAGGGAGAGAAGGGCAAGAAGGGAAAAGGTGAGAAGGGCTCGAAGGGTGAGAAGAGCAAGGGCTACAAGGGCGGCAAGGCCAAGAAGGGGGGGTAAGGGACAAGTCCCGCCGCTGGGGTCGATCAGCAGCGAGATCCTGAAGCCGGACGTCTGCCGGTTCTGCTTCAAGCAGGGCCATTGGGGCAACGAGTGCCCAGCATACTACCAGGACGGCACGCCCAAGGAGCACTGAGGGCGCTCACCAAGCGGGGCCGGACCGTTTCTGGTCCTCAGGGTCTGGCCTCGGACTAGCGGCGGTGCCGCTGCGCGAGCGGCGCTCGCAGAGACACGGACGCATCAAAGGCGCGTCGGTGGCCATTTTGGTCTGCAGTGAGCCCGGTCGACGGTGTCGGCCGGGCGAGGTACCCGCAGGGCTCTGGAGGGAGCTGTGGAGGTAGCAGTGTTGAAGTTGTCTCTTGCGATGCTCCTCCGGAGCCTTTTCGGCTCTGGCGGCCCCGACGAGAGAGCGGAAGGGCTGCTTAGGGCATTAGTCGGGCAGGTGCGCAGCTACCGCTTGCCTGGCCCACTTGTGAGGAAAAAGTATCTTCACTTCAATCAACAGCATCATCGTCATCATCATCATCATCATCATCATCATCATCATCATCATCATCATCATCATCATCTCCATCAGCATACCATCATCGTGATCATAGACATCGTCAATATGGTTGTAAGATTAATCGCCATCGGCAGTATCAGGATCGGCACCATCACGACCACCATACAAACATCGTACTCATCAACAGCACCATTGCATCCCAAGTACCACAACATCATCAGCATTGGATTTATCAGCATCAGCAGAATCATCATCATCAGCACCGCCCAAATAATCATCAGCACCATCAGCGTCAGTATCATCGACTCTCCCCCCCGTCATTATCAACATCTTCATCACCATCACCGCCAGTCTAACCATCATCACTATGCGCATGGATCCCATCGTCCTATATCGTCCCTTCCCGAATCGCCCCCCAAGGGGTTACACAACGGCGGGGTGAAACACAGACTCCAATAGTGGCCAAGCGGTTGCCCAACGTTTGTCCACAACGGCAGCCCAAGAGAGACTGGGGCTGGCAGTGATTCGCTGGAAGCGCCTTCGCGAATGCTGCGATCGCCCGCCTGCTGGAGGAGATGCGATGGTGGCAGGAGCGGACGAGATCCTGCTGACGAAGATCAGGACGGATAGCCAGATGTGGCACCCCGGTGAGCAGGCAGGGGGCAGTATGGAAGCTCCTCCCCGTTGTGCACCTCCCTCCTCCTCATCCTCATCCTCCTCCTCCTCCTCCTCCTCCTCCTCATCATCATCATCATCATCATCATCATCATCATCAGCATCATCATCATCATCATCATCATCATCATCATCATCATCATCATCATCATCCTTCTATGTCCAATTCCTCCCCCTGGTCCTTATCATCCTCCTCTTCCTCGGTATCCTACTCCTCGTCCTCCTTTTCGTATCCGCATATTCCGTCTCCTCTTACTCTCCCGCCTCATCCGCATCCTCCGCCTCACCCATCCCTGTTCCCAAGGAAGCGCCCAAGACTGACCAAGACGGCCCCATCAATGCCTCGCGACTGTCCCGAGACGGCTCGATAGTCCCTCCAGACGGTCCAAGAGGGCTCAAAAACTGCACATAGACTCGCAAAGATGCCCCCGCGATGGTTCAACCGAGCCGCTTCGGGAGAGCCCCGCAGAACCGTCGCGTCCGAAACGACCCCCAGAACCCAGGAGGGCTCCCCAAAGAACCCTGAGAAGGCCCAAAGAGGCCCCCACGGGATCTCGAAGAAGCCCCACAGAAGCATCATCGATAAGGGATCGGGGGGGGACGCGGCAGCGGACTAGGAGAGAGCGCTTAGGCCCCGCGCCAGTTCAGACAGGGCACTGGACTGGAAGGGGTAGCTCAAACTCCTTCCTGCGCTACCGCGCTGCTGCGGTAGCAGCTGGACCTCGTCCTCATCCGCTGCCTCCTCCCCCTCCTCCTTGTCCTCCTCCTCCTCCTCCGCCTCCTCCTCCTCAGTGTCATTACCATCATCAGCAGCATCATCATCAACAGCATCATCATCATCATCATCATCAGCATCATCATCACCATCATCATCACCATCATCATCATCAGCATCATCATCATCAGCATCATCATCATCATCAGCATCATCGTCATCATCATCATCATCATCATCATCATCAGTAGCATCATCATCATCATCAACATCATCAGCATCAGCATTAGCATCATCATCGTCATCATCATCAGCATCATCATCATCATCATCATCAGCATCATCATCATCATTGTTATTATTAATTTTCTTATCATTATTATCATCCTTATCATCATCAGCAGCAGCAGTAGCATCGTCATCAACATAATCAGCAGCAGCATCATCAGCATCATCATCATCATCATGAACATCGCCGTCACCAGCATCAGCAGCAGCAGCAGCATCAGCATCATCAGCATCATCATCAGCATCACCATCATCCTCATCATCATCAGAATCACCATCATCCTCAGCATCGACACCATCGTCATCAGCATAATGATCGCCATCCGCAGCATAATCATCAGCAACAACACCACCACCACCGGCATCGTCATCGCCCTCGTCATACTCATCAGCATCACCAGCATCAGAATCATAAAAATCGGAATAATGATCCCCATCGTGATCATCATCAACATCGTCAGCATCACCAACATCGACATCTCCATCTGAATCATCAGCATCATCCGTGTCATCATCATCGTCACCATCAGTATCATCAGAATCACGGTCATCAGCATCACCACCATCATCATCATCAGCATCATCAGCATCATGAGCATCATGAGCATCAGCATCATCATCACCAGCAGCATCGCCATCAGCATCATCTTCATCAGCATCGCCATCAGCATCATCACCATTGTTCACGTCCTCATCATCAGCATCATCATAGTCGCACTCATCACCATCAGAATCACCATCATGATCGTCATCAGCATCAACATCATCATCATCATCAGCAGCATCAACATCATCATCATCATCATCATCATCATCATCATCATCATCATCATCATCATCATCATCATCATCATCATCATCATCATCATCATCATTGCCGTCATGGTGATGATCATCGTCAGCAGCAGCATCACCATCCGCTGTACACCTACGCCTCCTGCTCGTTCTCCTGCTTCCTTTCACTCCTGTTATGGCTTTTGTTCTAGCCTCCTCCCACTTCTCCTCTCCTCCTCAGTGTCCTGCTCCTCCTCCTACTTACAATACACAAGTTCCTCAACCTCATCCTCATCACCACCACCACCGTCATCACCAGTAGCAAATTCATCACCATCACCATCACCAGCATCATCATCATTATCACCATCACCAGCACAACCATCATTAACATCACCATCACGATCACCATCACCATCACCATCACCATCAGCATCATCAGCCGCACCACTGTCATCATCATAACCATTATCGTCATCGCCACCTCATCATCACCACCAGAATCGTCATCACCAGCATGATTGTCATCACCGTCCCCGTCGTCATCACCACCACAACCGTCCTCATACGAGTTACCATTGACACCACCAACACCATCACCGCCATCATGACAACTGTCCATCTCATTCATCACAGGCCACGGGGCCAGGCGACCTCCCCTCGGCTTTGGGCACGCAAGGCGCACCGCTGAGTCATGGCACAATCGATGGCGCAAGAAAATACAAAAGACGAGCCATCGTCTGCGCACGCCTGGCGGCGAAGGAGAGGGGGGGTCGCGGCGGCCCCTCCTCGCCCGCGCCCCTGCCCGTGTGGGACGGCTGGTGTCAGAGGCCGAATGCCGCGGCCCCCTGGAGACCGCCTTGTCTTGCCACCACCGCCGGATCCGACAAGCACTGACGGCCGTCACCTGGCGTCGGGGGACGACAACTGGATCCACACACACACACACTCTCTTCCCGAGGCGGCGGTGACGGCATTCACTGGTGACAGAACTGCGGGACTCGTTGGCAGATCGGCCACCTGTGTGGAGAAGTACCCACCCGCGCACACGCCGATCCTGGCCAGGCCAATGCTGGGCCCAGGACCTGTGTGTGCGCCTCCCCCTGGCGAAGCCGGGGGGAGCAGATTGTCCACCGATCCTGGGCCCAGGATGGGCCTGGCCAGTGGCCAAGATCGGCGTGGGTAGATATGGTGGGCGTCCTCGGCCGCCAGGGGGCAGAGCTGGCATTCGGAAGGCTCCCTCGCCCCTCCTCCTCCTCCTCCTCCTCCTCCTCCTCCTCCTCCCCCTCCTCCTCCCCCCGGTGTCGCACGGCGGCTCGGCCTCTGCAAGCCCCATCTCGGGCACCCAGGCCTGCGAGCACCACTATCTGTGCGCCGCGCAGAAAAATGCGCGGACCAATGGCACTGGTGGAGGGCTCTGGAGCCCCACGCCGCCGCCGGTCCGTCCACACCGGCAGCCAGACTCCCAGGAAAGGCCTGCCGGTTGAACACGTAGTGGGTGAGGTGGAGGAGGAGGAGGAGGAGGAGGAGGAGGAGGAGGAGGAGGAGGACGGAGGGAACGACAGGGCCCAGTGCCAGATGGGCCGCAGGCGCAGGAGCAGGACCTGGATGAGGCGGCGGAGGGAGGATGGGAAGGCAGGACACCCTCGACGCCCTGTTTCGGGGAACGACAAATGCCATAAACATAAAAACTCGGAGGTCCACGCGAATTTCTTGGATCCGCGCTGGACCCCCCTCCCTGGCGCGCGGAGCGCGCCAGGGGCGGCGCCGGAGGCGCGGACCTCCGAGTTGTTATGTTTATGTCATTGTTCGTTCCCCTAAACAGGGCGTCGAGGGTCTCCTGCCTTCGCATCCTCCCTCCGCCGCCTCATACAGGTCCTGCTCCTGCGCCTGCGGCCCATCTGGCACTGGGCCCTGTCGTTCCCTCCCTCCTCCTCCTCCTCCTCCTCCTCCTCCTGCTCCTCCTCCTCCTCCTCCTCCTCCTCCTCCTCCTCCTCCTCCACCTCACCCACTACGTGTTCAACCGGCAGGCCTTTCCTGGGAGTTTGGCTGCCGGTGTGGACGGACCAGCGGCGGTGAATGGGCGCCTCTCGAGGGCGCGAGGCTCGCAGGAGGAACTCCAGAGGCCCACCTCCAGTTGTCCAGACGGGTGGCACCTCGCCTGTGGCAGTCGAGCCGCTCGTGCAGCAAGTCGCACTCTCCCTCTGCCAGCTAGACCCCGCTCGTGGCCAGGTAACGCCCCACTCTAGGGGAACGAACAATGACATAAACCTAAGGCTCGGAGGTCCGCACGGATTTCTCGGATCCGCGCTGGGCCCTCCTCCTTGGCGCGCGGAGCGCACCAGGGGCGGCGTCGGAGGCGCTGCCAAGGGGGTCTAGCGCGGATCCGAGAAAACTGCGCGGACCTCCGAGTTGTTCTGTTTATGTCATTGTTCGTTCCCCTACACTCACACCCGCCCGTAACAAGAGGTGGGCATCTGAGAGGGCGTGCTGGTCACCCGGTTCGCGGACGGCCAGGAAGCGGAGAAAAACAGGGGGCGGCCGCTCGCCCGCGCCGCCCGAGGCCTGTCGCGGGGTTCGCGGCGAGTGGAGCTAGAGAGTAAGGCCGAAACAGGGCGCCCGTCGCTCCTCCTTCTCCTCCTCCTCCT